GCTCTCACCAGGGGCAGGTTTACGGCCTGAGCATATATATTTCATGAGCCATTCTCTGAAAACAGAGCTGGACACGACATACCTGCAACTGAACTTTCAGGAAATCTGTCCTTTCACGCAGCTCTTCACTAAAAGGCCACTTTATTAAAAAATTATTTTTAATTGGAGGAATACTGCTTTACAATATCGTGTTGGATTCTGCCACATGTGCATGCATGCTCAGTCACTTCAGCCATGTCTGACTCTCTGCAACCCTAGGGACTGTAGCCTGCCAGGCTCCTCAGTCCATGAGATTCTCCTGGAAAGAGTACTGGAGTGAGTGAGCTGCCGTGCCCTCCTCCGGGGGATCTTCCCGACCCAGGGATCAAACCCAGGTCTCCTGCACTGTAGGTGGATTCTTTACCGCTGAGCCACGGGGGAAGCCCTGGCTTCTGCCAAACATCAGCATAAATCGGCCACTGGAATACCTATGGGCCCTCCCCCTTGAACCTCCCTCCCACCTCCCAGCCCAGCCCAGCCCACCCCCTGGGTTGTCAGAGAGCACTGGACTTGAGCCACCTACGTCATACAGCAAATTTCCAGTGGCTCTCTAATTTTACATATGGTAACATGTGTGTTTCAATGCTACTCCCTCAATTCATCCCACCCTCTCCTTCCCACCCCCTGGTGTTCACAAGTCTGTTCTCTATGTCTGCGTCTCCACCTCTGCCCTGCAGATAGGCTTGTCAGTATCTTCCTTCTAGATTCCATATATATGCACTAATAAACAGTATTTGTCTTTCTCTTTCTGACTGACTTCACTCTGTAGAATAGGCTCTAGGTTCATCCGTCTGATTAGAACTGAGGCAAATGCACTCAGAAGGCCCCGTTGTTAACACTGAAGCAGCCCTGGAAAACCTTTCCAGGGACACAGGAGACTGGGCTGACTTTATCACCAGCCTGACTTCACACTTTTTACACTTCTGGGGGCAACTTTGCTTTTTGCTTTCTCCTGCATTACTGCAGAGAAAATTCATAGCCTCTCTGAAGGTGAGAATCTCACCCACCAGTAACAAAATCATCACTCTATATTAAGTTAGCTTTTCTCTGGGAGATGTTCTAACTGCCTTATAAACATTCTTTCATCCTGAAGAGCAGGGAGGTGGTAATTATTATTCTTTCTGGACGAGGAGGTAAAACTGACGGTCTTGGCCATGTGGAACTGAAATGGTTTTTGAATGCCTGAGAGAAAAGCAAAAGCCAGGCTTTTAAAACAAGAGATAGAACAGGTTTGACCAAAATAGGAGTAAGAATGGTATACAAAATACCAAAAAAGGAGAATTCTCCTATAAGCAGCTCACTCTCAGTGACAGCTTCTTAGAGGCGGCCCCTTGGCATCTCTATGGCCACAGACCTGCAGCACCAACCCTGCCAGGGGTACCTGGCCTGGGAACGCGAATTTGCACACAAATAAGATATCTGCTTGGAAACAGGATAGTAAAAAGTAAAAACCAACGACAGTTATGCACCTGGACTCAGAGCTACTGCTGTCCGCACTGTAGTACATTGCTTTTGCTTAGTCACTCAGTCACGTCTGACTCTTTTGCACCCCCATGGACTGTAGCCCACCAGGCTCCTCTGTACATGGAATTCTCCAGGCAAGAATGCTGCAGTGGGTTGCCATTTCCTTCTCCAGGGGATCTTCCTGACCCAGGGATCAAACCCATGTCTCCTGCATTGCAGACAGATTCTTTACCATCTGAGCCACCAGGGAAGCCCCGTAATAAGTTACTTGACCACAGTAACACAGACATGCCACCTGTGTGCTGTGTTTGTAATTTACCAACAGTCCTTCCCACTGATCCCTGTTATCCTGATGCTGGCCAGGTGAGGCGGGGTGGTTTTCTCACCCCTGTTTTAGGATAAGGCAGCCATGGTGTTAGGCGCCTCACAGCTGCAGCAATACAACCCCCAGGGGCTTGTCTTTATGCCACATTTTCCCCTGAATTGCCTTCCCTTCTGTTCTATCCCTTTTTCTTCCGAAGGAGGTGACAAGGGGCCTGAATTCCTTTAAATACCAAGAGGAAAGGGCATGGGATTGGGGTTTTAAGACCCAGATGTGACTCCTAACTGTCCCTGGCGGGGGTTCTCACATGCCCAGGATGGCAGAGCCAGGGGCCCCACGTGACAGTGTACCTGTCACAATGTCTAGGCCCTGCTCTGCTTTTAGTTTTGCAGAAAATCAAGAAATAAAGGGGCTGCTTTTGTCTAACTGTGCAGCTGCTCATGTTAAAGCTGAGGACAAGCTACTTCACATAGGAGTCCACCGTATGGATCGATGCAGGCGGGCTCTTCTACACCTGGAGGCACACGTCCAAAAGCTGGCAAGGACTGCAAGCCACCGGGAGGGAGAGGAGCTCTTTAAACCAGCAGGGCCTCAGTTACCTAAAATACAAAGTGGGGACAATACTGACTCACCTTATGGGATTGCGACAAGGATGAAATAAGCTAAGATGTGCAAAAGCAACTGGCTGTGCTCCTTACAAAGCCAGGCATGGCGTCATCATCTCCAACTCACAGCTGAGAAAACCCGAGTGGAGATCAGCTGAAAGAAGACCCAGAGCTGGCTATTTGGGGTGGGGGACAGACTCTGGCCCCTGGCCTCCCTTTCCTGACACCACGCCACCCACTCAGTCACGGCGCTGACTTTTCCCCTTCGCCGTCCTCGTGGGACTCCTTTCACTGCTTTTTTTTCTGGTTGGATCCTGGTCCCTGACTCACACATCTTCCTCTTTTTTGGCTTCCCTCTTCACGGTGCTCAAGCACAACCTCTAGGAGTTTCAGAGAAATGACGCCTGGGAGCTTTGCATGTCTGAAACATCTCTTAAGTCTACTTTCATGCTCAGGTGCTGGGTCTCATTCTAGGTTAGACTATGTTCCCCAGGATTTTTAGCAGCAATGTTCCAGACCTTTCAAAGTTTCCAGGGTTACTGTTGAGACGGCCAGTGCCACTGTGATGCTTAATCCTGTGTGTGCTTTCTGAAAGCATTTAAGGTCTTTTGCCATTTCACAGGGGATGCCTTGGGGTGGGCAGGTCCTTTCTTACCGTCCTGGGCCCTTCCATCTAGTTTCAGGAACCGTCTTTCACGCAGTTGCACTCAGACTCAGCTTCACTTGGTTGGCCTCCTCTGTCTCCTATTCTCTTATTGTAGAACGCCTGTCAGTTGGACAGTGGACCTTGAGGATTGATCCCCGACCCATCCTTTACCTGCTCCCCCACTTTTTGGTCTTGGTTGGTCCTTTTGATCTATTTGTGAGAGACTTGTTTTACTCTATCCCTTCTCATAGGATTTCCAATGTCACATTTTCCTACGTTAACCGTCTCTCCCTCTTTAATGACAAGCTGTATCCCACTCTCCCTTCCAATTTCTTTTGAGGAATTAAATGTAGCTTCTTTAAAGTTATCTTCTGTTCTTTGCATTGTCTGTTCCTCCCTCAGATCTTCCTTCTGTTTATTTTGGTCTCTTTCATTCTGGGGGCAGTTCATTTATATTTAAGAGGGAGGCATGTGGCAGCTGGCTGGCAGCTCAGTGAGACGGAAAGGGGCTTACCTCCCGAGGGGCTGGGGGATTAGGGGCTTGGGGGATTAGTCCGCAAGCTGGTTTTACACTAGAAGACCCCCCGCATGTCAGCATCTAAAGAGAACTTCCCCGGGACTGTGCAGTTTCTCTAGTTGGGGGGAAAAAAAGGAAAGAAAAGTTCCCGAGACTCAGCGGTGAGGCCCTAACAAACCAAGTGCCCATGTCCAGGGAGGGAGCGGGGCTGGAAGCGGGGGGGTGCCGGGCTCCACGTCTGGTCTGCGTGCCGTCAGCCTGTCACCTGACAAACGGGAGACGAACTTGACAACAGCCCCAAGAGACTCCAGATGAACCCGAGTGAAGAACTTCAGCACAGCAACAGCTTTTTACTCTTACCGTTTCCAACTGAAACAGTTCACGCGTGAAGACACGGAGAGAGACCAAGAGAGCCGTAATGATCTGGTCCTCTCCCCTCCTGGCTATTAACTCCCACGCTGTGGTCCCTTGTCTCTGCCCTTCCAAGGCCAGACGTCCAAACCCACCACCATCACCACTGCGAGAATGAGGACCTCGTTTCTCACTTGTTATGAGCTTGCTGACAGGACAAATGAAAAAGACGCTGTTGTTTGCGACCTACACAGAAAGCATTATTGAGTTCTTGACCTGGTCTGGTTGTCCATGACCTCTGGGAGAAGCTAAGAAGAAAAAAACAGGAGAGAGATGCCGGGACCATCCCCAAGTACATTCCCCTCGAGGAAGAAGCTGCCCAAAGGGTCACACACCCCCTCCGTCTCAGGCTGCCCACTTCTGCAGAATTCGGCTCCCATAACGGGGGCAGCACAGGGCTGCCAAGCACAAGAAAGAACCCATTCACCCCGTTTTATCCAGCACCTACCACAGGCAGGAAGTACTCAGTCTGTACTTCCGTCTGCTTTAAAAAGTGAGTCTTTCTAAGGTTCTGCATTTGGGAGCATGAATGGCCTTTAAATATTCATGGTAATTTCTGGGCTTTGATTATCAGTTACCTTGCTGTGTAAGACGCATCTGAAACATATCTATTAAATACTGGAAGTTTAAATACCTACTCTCATCACCAGAAACGGGCTTACTCTACCCAGTTAAGAAACTACTGAAAATTGAACTCAGAGCCCCTTAAGAAGATGAATGCATGTATCCATTTTGAGCCTCAGCTGTGCACCTGTAAAATGCCGAGTTAAATTTTTAAAAAGTCTCACTTGAGTAAAAATTGCAATTCTAAAATTATTTCAAAGTGACCTAATGTACACAGAAAATATAATTCTTTTAGGAACTGTGGGAGGTAGGAAACATATTCCTCGCTCATCAAACACACTTCAGTTACTGTCTATGGAGCCCCCTTCCTGGCCGGAGAATCGGCCGGCACTTCCCACACCGCCTGTTCACCGACACGCTCATGACACTCACCAGGTTTTTGAACAGCGCCGTCAGCTCCTTTGTAAACACTGAGAACTTCAGGAATGCGCTCCCCAGGTCCGGGTCATCTCTGCACACGCAGTTGCCCCCGAACTTCTCCAGCGCCTGTGTGTACTGCTCCTCGTTTTCCACATGCGCTGCAACAGTAACGGGAAAGGCACGGTCAGGGCATCAACACTCCAGGCCCGCCCTCTGCCTGGTCCTGACATGTGAGCAAAATTGGACATGTTAAAAGCCTGAAGACCTGAGAAAAGTCAAGTTGCACCAGGGACAGAAATAACTGCTGTCCCAACCACCACCCATTGGACCAGCGTACGTGCGTGCTCAGTCATGTCTGATTCTGCGGCCCTATGGACTGTAGCTCACCAGGCTTCTCTGTCCACAGTATTTCCCAGGCAAGAATATTCAAGCAGATTGCCGTTTCTTCCTCAAGGTTATCTTCCTGACCCAGGGATCAAACTTGTGTCTCCTCCATTGGCAGGAGGATTCTTTACCACTTGAGCCACCACGGAAGCCCCCAGTCACGCCAGCAACAGACCCCAAAGAACAAGCAGGATGACCAGGAGGGAGGCGCCTCACACAAGTCCCACGGTCTCCAGTTGAGGTGATGAGATCCCAAGGGGACCTCCCCCCATGGCCCCACAATCTCTGATGCGATGAAATCCCAAGACAACGTCCCCCCACCTGCCCCCACTCACAGCCCACATGATTGCAGGACTCGCAGCCCATAGCCCTAGTCCTCTCCTGGAACCCAGCCTCTGGCAGGACATTCAGCCAGCCACACGCCCTGGTTTCTCCTGCAACACAGACAAGCCACGGTCCTCGGAGCACAGGCCAGGGCACCTCTCCTCATGACGTGCCCTTTGCCCGGGGGCCCTGCCCTCCTCTGCAGGCCTTCCATGCCCTCAACACCATCCTGGTCTTGCACTCAGCATGGTAAGCATGCAACCACCTGGTAAGCGTGGTCCCCAACACACCAGGTGCTTACAGGGAAGGGACTAAGTCTTATTCATCTTTGTGCTTGAGATGTAAGACCACACATGTGTTGTCTGAATGAAAAAAGCAAACCCTGGTCACCCATCTGAAGGTGTCTTACCACCATTAGGCTCTGAGGCAGTAGTAGCTTAATGCGTGAAAAGCCTGGGTTCTCAGCCTCCAACTCTGTGGGTCCCAGGCCCCATGGGCATCAAAATCATACACGGATCCTTGTCAAACTGCAGAAGCCAGAGTCCCGTCTCAGGGTTAGAAGCAGGGTGGAAGGGGACAGGGAATTCTGGTTAGCCAGTGGGGCCGGATGTGAGCCCTCACTTCAGGGCCAGCATTTTTAAATGAACCCGCCAGGCTGCAATAAAACAGCCTGCTGGCATGGACACTCCTCCATGGTTCCAGTCAGAAACGGGACACAACTCTACATGTGTAACAGGGCAGGTGGGCGGGCGTGTCAGCCTCCACGTGAACCACACTTGGCAAGGTCAGCCACGTCTCCAGACTGCTGCCCCACAAGGAGGACGGCCCAGGGCTGCCAGGTGACCACAGAAGGCCCTGTGTTGCAGCTCCTTCACCAAAGAACAGATCCTGAAAAACCGCCTGTGGCCCCCCGAAAGTCCTCCTCAGGGAAATGGAACCACTGTCAGCAGTGCTGGGACCCACAGGGGACACATGCTCATGGAAGGCGGCCCTGGGCCTGAGCTGGACCCCAGGATCCACTTACGGAATTCCCCTGAGTATCTAACAAAGACAAGAGAACACTAATTCCACCACTTCGGTCCTTTTCCTTCTTTCTATTATGACTATCTTCTATGCTAGAGAAGAGCCTGAGAGTTCTGGATGCATTATATGGGTCGGGAAGATCCCTGGAGAAGGAAATGCAACCCACTTCAGTACTCTTGCCTAGAAAACCCCATGGATGGAGGAACATGGTGGGCTACAGTCCACGGGGTCACAAAGAGTCGTAAACGACTGAGCAAGTTTCACTTTCTTTCTGAGACTATACTCAGCAACATACACACACACACACCACCCTTACTCCCACTGTGCTGAACACACACACACACCACCCTTACCCCCACTGTGCTGAACAGGCGGTAGCGCTGGAAAAGCCCTTAGCAGGTCCAGACCTTGGAGTCTGTGCCTCCCAGTAAACACAGATGACCTGGGAGCACATGCATTTACTCTCACGGGGCTACAGTCAGGGCCACGTGAAGGACAAAGACCCGCTGTGAGACACTCACAAGGAGAAGGTAAGAATCAAAGAATGAGGGGAGGATCCCGCTCACCCACACCCAGCATACGTCCACCAGCCGTGCCAACGGTTAACAGCACCACAGGTGTCATCTACATGGAGCACAGATGACATCCACAGTTCTTCCAGACCTCAACAACTTACACCTAACATGCATGACTTCTCACAATGCTGAAAGGAAACTGGGACTCAAGGAGGTCAAGGAAGCTGTCCACGGAAGCAGGGCAGAAAGTGGCTGAGCTGGGGTGCAAACCCGAGGCTGCTTGACCCCAAAGCCCATTCGAGGTCTCCCTGCTGTGCAATCCGTTCTAAAAATAGCTTACCTTGCCAAAGCCAAAGGCAGGCAAGTTTTAGATTTTTTAAACTCCATTTCAGACGCGGATCGGTTACCCCTCCTTTGCTCTATAATTCTAGAACACGTGGCCAACAGTGAAGGGCAGGTCCTTTCAAACCACACACCGTTTTGTAACTATTTCAAAACCAGCGGTCAAGACGTGGGCAATTCTGTGTGGTTCTGCAAGGGTGTGGCGGCCACCAGCAGATGTCTGGGGCTGACGTCACCACTGCCAGCCCCTCTGCCCTCGTTGAGACAGACAGTAACTCAGAGGCTACAGTCACCTTGGGAGCCACGTGCTGCCTTCACAACACGCCTGGACCCTCACAGCTGCTCCGGGTGAGGGGGGAGAGGGGGTGTCAGTTTTCAGTCAAGGCTGTTAAGTGGCCCACAAGCCTTTTGTTCAATTAAACCTAATGACACTACATGGTGCCAGCTGCAGCATCCCTTGTTATCTGCTGAGTGAAGTAGGGTTCAGAGGGCCTATGTGATCTGCCCGAGATCACACAGGAGGTGGGTCAGGGGTCAGGTCCATCCTCTATTTATGCAGGCTGCCCCCAGCCTGGGACAACCTTGGGAGAAAGGGTGCTGCCTGCTCTCCAGGGGTAGCTGACCAGCCCGGCACAGATGACAGCAGCCAGTGAGGCCAGGGAGGACAGACGCACCTCCTTTCATTCCTCCTCCTGGGCCTTTTAACTGACCACCTGGTATGGGCCACTTTTTTAAATAAAAATTCTTCCCCTTTTAAACCTTCAAAATACTGTGCTGATCCCAGCAACCCCCGATGGTGATTAATGAGTGTTCTGGACCATCACTGTCACCACCGCCTCATGTATTTATATGTAAAGCATTCTGATCCACTGCAATCACTATCTTCTGATGTGCAAAACTGTCCAAGCTTAGGTCAACGGAAACCTCTTCACACTGATCTAGTTGGGGTTTTTAAGACCAATTTCTCTTCTTGCAAACACACTTAAAAAGCTTCTTGAGAAATGACCACAGCCTGTGCATTTCTGGGTCTCCCTGAAACAGCTGGGCCTGGTGCCCACCATCAGGACAGTAAAGTCTTCACACATAACGTATTGTCTGTCTGGCCTACTGGTCCACATCACCCAAAGTTTGAGATGTTCCTACTAGAGAAAGTCGTTGAGCTGCTTTATTTTTCTTTTGCCAAAACTAAATTTAAAATAGGAACCTAAAATAAATGGCTTGGGAATCAAGTTTCTGGAAAGAGCCCAACCTGGGTCTCTCATCTCCTATTTAGAGCACTGTGAAGGCTGTCCCTCTCAGAAGAGCTCACTCCCCCACCTCCTCCTTGCTCAGCTGCATCTTCCACTCTGGTTCTCATTCACAATCCAGGGCCAAGAAACTCCAATGCAGGAGGGGCTCGGGAGGATGAGAATGTGAATCCCTGAGACCACAGCAGATGAGACCCCAGTTCTCCCCAGGCCAGCAGCCCTCCCACTTCCTGCACCTCACTGCACCAAGGTCAGACCCTCCACTAATCCGTCAAAGAGGGTGCAATCAGAGACTCTTGCAGGAAGAGCTGCCGTGAGGCCAGCAAACAGGCGCACATGGTGTGTTTAGGGGTAAAAGTTGGGCCTTGCTATGTGCCTTTTAGTTTACTTGATTATGTCAGTTTAAAAACTGATAGGGGAGGAGGCGGCCCAGTGCATGCTGTTCAAGCGAAATGTTGGATCCAAAAGGAAAAAAGGCAGCCTTTTTACTCCCACTGGATGGACCAGAGCAAGTTGGGGAAGCCAATAGCCTGTCTAGTGCTACCAAAGGACAAGAAGGATCCCGCAGCCAACTCACCTCCACCACATTCACATCTCTGGGAGTGTCTGCCCCTCGCTGGGCTGTGACAGTGTGACAGAGACACGTGTGACCTACGTCCTGGGACAGACGCACCAAGTCATGTATGATGGCCTGCAACATCCTGGGACCAGGGGTTCAGTGACATCAAGAAGGGGACGTTTGAGCTGGGGCTCCAGGTCAGGTAGGAATTTCAAGAGAGACGAGCAGGAACAGGAAGGTACTGACCCCAGGGGAATGGCCGAGAGGTCCCGTGTAAGCAGAGGCTGTCACCACTGTCCCAGTCTGCAAGTGCCCGCCGGCACCCAACTCCTGACACAAGACCATCTCAGGAGAGCACTGGCCTCACTGTCCCACCCACCCGGGGCCACTCCTGGGGTCTTGACAGTCTAGAGGATCCTGAAGAGAAACCCAGGACAGAGACCCCCCTCTGCACAGACCAGGACACCAAAACTCAGAGAGGACGCTGACTTGCTCAGCTTCACACAAGCTAGTTTGATGCAGCTACAGAACTAGAACTCAGCTTTCCCAGTGCCCATTCCTCCCAAGTTCCCCCAAGCACGCAGGCAAACGTTTCTTCATTTGCTCATCACATAGTCACTCTTCCCAGCTCTAGGCTAACACGAGGACGTGCTATAATCCTCCAGGCCAAGCACACGCACCGGTGACCCAAAGTTCCAAGAGCCCTGACCAGAGAGAAATGGGCATGGGGGTGGGGGAAGGCAGCCTGATGGTCTCCCCTTGAC